CTCCTCGTCATGTCCGTGATCACATTCGGGACTCCGAACAACCTTCGGTACATCAAAATGCATAAACTCATAATATAACTGTCATCGTAACCTTAAGCGTGCGGACCCTACGGGTTCGAGAACAATGTAGACATGACCGAGATACGTCTCCGGTCAATAACTAATAGCGGGACCTGGATGCCCATATTGGCTCCTACATATTCTACGAAGATCTTTATCGGTCAGACTGCATAACAACATACGTTGTTCCCTTTGTCATCGGTATGTTACTTGCCCGAGATTCGATCGTCAGTATCCAATACCTAGTTCAATCTCGTTACCGGCAAGTCTCTTTACTCGTTCCGTAATACATCATCTCGCAACTAACTCATTAGTTGCAATGCTTGCAAGGCTTATGTGATGTGCATTACCGAGAGGGCCCAGAGATACCTCTCCGACAATCGGAGTGACAAATCCTAATCTCGAATACGCCAACCCAACATCTACCTTTAGAGACACCTGTAATGCTCCTTTATAATCACTCAGTTACGTTGTGACGTTTGGTAGCACCCAAAGTGTTCCTCCAGCAAACGGGAGTTGCATAATCTCATAGTCATAGGAACATGTATAAGTCATGAAGAAAAACAATAGCAACATACTAAACGATCGGGTGCCAAGCTAATGGAATGGGTCATGTCAATTAGATCATTCAACTAATGATGTGACCTCGTTAATCAAATAACAACTCTTTGTTCATGGTTAGGAAACATAACCATCTTTGATTAACGAGCTAGTCAAGTAGAGGCATACTAGTGACCCTCTGTTTGTCTATGTATTCACACATGTATTATGTTTCCGGTTAATACAATTCTAACATGAATAATAAACATTTATCATGATTATAAGGAAATAAATAATAACTTTATTATTGCCTCTAGGGCATATTTCCTTCAACCACACCTATTCATACCATGCCTGCCGTGCGCTTCATGTAGCTAACAAGTTGAATTCGTCATCAACCTATCTGTTGCTGGAGTTGTTCTTCAAGAATCAGGTCCTCTGTTCAGACTCTGTGGACATTCATCATCAACCTGCCATGCGCTTCATGCATTCGTCACCATTTTAGTGTGCTCGGCCTCGCATTTTCACTTGATCAGTAGTTGTGTGTTCGCGCCGTCGTCGAGACTCTGCAACTTTAATTGTTGTCTTGGTTTGCACTCTTATTATCCTCTCGTAAATCGATTCATCCGTATATGTAACTGAAGGTTTAGTGGATTCGATCGATTCATCCTATATGTAACTAAAGGTTTAGTAGATCTCAAGTGTGATGTTTTCATACTATGCTGCTGCTCAGTTATCTTCATACCATGTTGCAGCTCTATACGAGGTTTATGCAAATGTATTCGTTAGGTGGGGATCCCACTTGTTCCCACCTAATTTATGCTAGAATTGGTGGGATGCCCACTTTTTTAACATCAGACATGGTGGGACGTGGTGGATTGTAGGTGGGACTCCCACATAGAGTCCCACATGCAGCGTTAATCGTAGGAATAGGAATTTTGTAGGAAATGAGATAACATATATCTCAAATCCTATGAGTAGAAATAGGAAACGAGATGTCATTTGGTTGACATCAAAGGAATTTTTTCATTGAGTCTAGGCTCATTTTTATTTTCCTATGAAATGTGAAGGATAGGAATCAATCGTATGTATGAATAGGAATCCATTCCTATGAACCAAAGGGCTTTAAAAAAAAACTTATAAAAATCCTATCTTTTAGAGTTCCTATGAAATTCCCAATGCCGTGGAAACCACGGTGTAAAGCAGAGAAAACAAGTGCTTGCCCTCAAGTTTGTCTTGCAACCCAATAACAGTCCAAGAGGAGATCAGCCGAATAAAAGACGCACACAAACACAAGCCGATCACGATGCCCGAAAAAACCACACGCATGTGCCGTGTTTCCTTCTATAATTGGAATGGTGATGAGATCTGGCGCTCTCGCTCCATGGCAAGTTGGCAACACGGCGCCAGCAAACGTCAACACTGACTCACGTACACGCATAGAACATTTGCCACATTGGGATTAGAACTACGAGACAACGGCGATTAGCCGGACAAGCCAGGCCAACAAGTACGTACGCCACGTGTGTCCTTGGCCATGTTCCCGTGCGACGCAAAGGCCGTGGCGGGTGAAGGAATCATGGCGGCCGGCCTTTGCCACGTCCACCCGGGGGACATAATGATCTTCCACCCGAGTAAAGTGGCGACGACGCACGTCTTCCTGAGGAAAACCTGCCCCCCGGTTGCCACCTTCTCCCAGCGCCAGCGCAACGAGGGATCGTATCCATCTTCTATCTGTGGTAGAGCCGCAGCAGTGGCTCCGCGCTCTCACGAGAAGAGAAGAAGAGCATTTCAGGGTCGGGCTAATTTATTTATTTATTTATTTATTTTGGCGGGAATTTAACCATAAGAGACTCCCACTGACTAATTTCCACGCAACCTACACATCACATCCTCTGCTAAAACTAGATAGGAGGGTGCGCATATTTACTTCGCCCCGGCGAAAAAATAAACATGATACAAGCGTGCCAAAAAACCAGATCATGACAAATCATGGTTGGGTTCTGACCAGGAGCATCCCAGTGGCTCCTGCAGGGAATAATCCCACGACCTGCGCACACCAAAGGCTGGCACGCTCCGATCGGATAGTTCCACTTCCACGCGAAAGCTAGCTGGCGAGAACGAAATGGGATATCAGCTCCTCCGTCCCAAACGGGGCATCGGTGGCCGGCGACGGTTTCAGTGCGACGCAAAGCACCCTTCATTATCGAACCATATTAGCAACCTCAACTGCCTACTTCAGGCCGATTGGGCGGTGGCGTGCGGACGGAGCGCGCCTCGCCGAGATGATCGATCATGAGATGGCACTTCCGGAAACGAAACAAATCACGGTGGGCCGTGATGCTCCGCGCACGCCTCATCTAAGCCCTGACACGACCATCATATACTACGATTAATTAATCGAGTACGTACGTACGTACGAACCAATACACTATGCTTAACTGACAGGGAGTAGCCAATACTCAACATCTGCCACTCACATTGCCGAATCATTGATAATCTTGGGGTCAGGACACGGTGGATATACTCCCTCCGTTCGGAAATACTTGTTCTCAAAATGGTTGTATCTACACTTATTTTAGTTATAGATGCATCTATTTTATTCATTTTTGGGACAAGTATTTTCGGATAGAGGGAGTATTTGTTTAACGCTATGTTTCGCTTGTCTCCATTCGTGGCGGGTTCCACCTCTATCCCTTCCCGATTATCAGGGCAGTGTTTTGCAGAACGGGAGAGGATTTGTTTAAAACGAGGAGAAAGATGCACATTTCGGATATTTGAGTCCTCGTGACAAAGTCAAGACATACGGAATATGAACAACTTTGAATGATTCATTTGAAGGGAAAATATCTTGTGTGGTATTGAAAAAATATTATGGCTTTTTTTGCGTCAATAAATCCAAACAACTAAAATTATAGGTCGACTCACTTGAGAAAAAACAAACAAACCATGTTAGACTGCCACCCAGTTAGGACATAAACTTTGTGATCACCGGCTTCTTCCTTCCTAATACCTTATGCCGTTATGAGCCAATTACTAACACATGAGAAATATAATAGGACATAGATAAATGAAAGCAATGCATGAAAATACATGAAATGACATTTAAATGTTCAAACAAGAGATATTGAGTTTTTTTTAAGCAGAGATATTGAGTTATTTGATCCTTATTGAAGAAGAACATAATTTACTACCTTGTGATTTCTTGTAGCTAGTTAAAATAACCCCTCAACGAAGAGACCGGTATATATTATAAAAAATTAGAGGAATGCATAGCCGTTATATGGCACAAAGCTTGTTGAAGCTGTATACACCGAACAGGAATACGAAGTGTATGGAATAAACAATGTCGAGTTATTTATCATATTTCCTAAAATGGAGTCTACCAAAAAAACAGAGTCTGATCTCGCAAGCAATTATCATGTCCCATTAGGCCTTGTACAATGAAATGTGCTTAAGGAAGATGCTTAGAAAAATAAACCAGATTTTCCTTAAGCACCGGTGCTTATTTTTACAGGGTAGACGCTAAGTGTCTACCCTGTAGAAATAGGCACCGATGCTTTAGAAAAATTCGGTTTATTTTTCTAAGCACCTCCCGTTGTACAAGGCCTTATATGCCCTAAAAAGTCTTACTATGTAATGATAAAACCACATCACCAAGCAATATCCAACTACTCATTTTGTGTATGGAGATGCTATATGACAGGTTGACAGAGGCCTAGGGTTTCTCCTTGAAGAAAAAGGAAAAAAAAATAAACCCGCTGCTCAGCAGACACCAATACACCACAGATTCAGAGGAGGCCCACCGCAAAAAAAAAAAGATTCAGAGGAGGCAATCTTCAGCTGCACTCCTCTCCATGAGACCCATCTCATCACCCATGGCCATGGCCATA